TCAGTTCACAAGCACTTCCATAGCTAAGATTCCCCCCAAAAACATGTGACTCAAGACAGGTTTCAACCGTTTCTCCATTTTTTTTTTCTGGAAAACTACCACAGCCTATAAGTGTTGTTTTACCTGGGGGGAAGGAGGGAGAGGAGGGAGGGAGGCACAACAACCTGTTCACTGTAAACCAGCTACTTCCTACAAACCATTTGTTTGTAACCCCAACCCAAACCTGGGCCATATCTGTTTGGGAATTTCCATAGGCTAGATCTGTGAGGTTCGTTTCCTGCCATTGCCTTGATAATCATTAGCTGCAAATGAAGTCCAAATCACATATGAGTTCACTTTGCTCAAATTCCAGAGATCTAATTTTTAACATAAGTTTTCCCAGCCTTGGACAGGTGCATGGTCCCATCTCACAGCTCGAGTGGTCACATCCAGGTTTTGGCCTTGTACAGACATTCTCCCAGGAGAAACCACAAGTGTACAGATATTCAAGCTGTTTCTCCCACAGTAAAAATGTCCACTCCAAGGCAAAAATAATCTGGCAATAAACAGGGTTAAATCACTCCCAGGAGAGTTTGTACATGTCTGTACATGCTGTATGTCTATGCTGGAGCTGTTTCCGTCCTTGGTCTCCCACACTTGGAAGTGTTCCTGAACTGGATTCCTCATGCAGCAGCATGACTTCTGCATTTCACAGGTGGTACCAAGTCCTACAACATCCAGCAGTAACCATTGCTTTAGTGGTGTGAGGGACTGGGAGTGGTGGTTTTGACCAGGGTTGACAGAAAGAGCTTTATTCCCTGTTTGCAGTAGGAAAGGTTAATTATTTTGTACCTCACTGTACTCTTCCACAGAACCAGGACAGGATGTAAGTGTTATGGGCGGTTCTCTGATGAAGGGCCTTACCCAGCAGACTTCCATTCTAGCTTTAAAAATGGATGAATGTGGCTGTTCCTATTAAGTTTTGTGCTACTCATTTCTGCAAGTACAGCCCATCATTTAAAAACATAAGTGTCATACTGGGTCAGACCAGTGCTCCATCTAGTCCAATATTCTGTTTCCAACAGCAGCAGAAATGGATGCTATGGCGGGAGAAGTACTGAACTGGGTATCTAGGGTAATCTACCCCCTATTCAGCATCCTCCCTAGCATACACCATTATTGGTTTAGAGCAGGAGTAGGTAATTATTTGGGCCTGTGGGCCATATAGGGAGTTTTGCTGGGCTGTAGTGGGCCAAGTCAGCACCTCCCCAACTCCCCCATGCAACAGCTCACCAAAGCTACCTACATGGGATGGGGCCATGGACAGGCAGGGAGCAGTGTTCTGGAGCAGAACAGGTGGGTGAGGCCAGGATCATGGGGCAGGGTCATGAGGTGGTGACAGTGTGGGGCTGGGGCCAGGATGTGGGGCAGAGCCGCAATCTTCTGCCCACACAGCCCTGAGATGGATATGGGCTTCACAGACAGGGGCATGCAAGGAGCGGATCGCAACTCTGCCCTGGCCCTGACCCCACGCTGTCACCGTGGTCTGCTGTCACTGAGGCCCGCGCTGTCACCCCTGCCGTGTGCTATCCCAGCCCTGGCCCCAGATGTAGATGTCCATCTGCCCAGCCATGTTCCCTGTCCATGGGGAGCCCGACCGGTCTCCATGCAGACCCCAGGATTGCAGGGTGGTGGTAGCACAGGGCTGGGGCCAAGCCTGGGGCAGAGTCCCAGGTCTGCAGGCAGTGACATGCAGGGAGCACATCGTTGCTCTGCCCTGGCCCCATGCTGTTACCACCCCACAATCCCAGGGTCTCCATAGAGACTGGCTGGGAGCTGTGTGGGCAAGGCATGTGGCTGGGTGGACAGGATGGGACTGGATCCAGGTGGGGATCTGCGTCTAGGGCCAGGGCTGGGATCTTGGGGCAGTGACAGCGTGGGACCAGGGTTGGGGCTGGGGCAGAGGTGCAATCTGCTCCCTGCATAGCCCTGCCCACAGAACCCACATCCATCATAGGGGCATGTGGGCTGGAGATTGGTGGCTCTGCCCTGGGTCCCAGCCCCACGAAGTCGCTGCCCCAAGATCCTGGCATCTCTCTGGCCCCATCTGCCCATCTAGCTCCTGAACTCTGCTTTCCACCTGCTCACACCCCCTTCTCAGCTGCCCAGCTGACTGCCCTTCCCACTCAGGTCCTGCCCCTGTGTTGGGTGCAGAGCACATCACTGGGGTGCCCCAGGCAGTGGGACTGGGGCCAGCAGCTGCAGCAGCCAGAAGGAGCCCCTGGGGCTGGTGGCTGTGGGATCCCGGAGGGGGCGCCCCCCC